CGGTGCCCGGCGGCGGGCAGCGCGGGGCGGGGGGTGCGGAGCCGCGGGAGGGATTAGTGGCGACTAACCGCAAAGCTTCGCTTCTGTGTGTTGAATTTCATTGCCCCTCCCCATGCAGTTCCCCCGGCGGAGGGCACGGGCGCGGCGCACAGCCGGGCTCGTCTCCTAGTAACGGCGGCAGAGACCACCAGGGTCGGCCCTGAGCCCCTCTGTCAAAAACCCAAATCACACTGCCCAAGTGACAACGGTGTTGAAGAAGGGCTGGTGTGGCCGGAATGTTCGGTAAAACCAATTGAAGTTCCAGAAGAATACTCCTGGTAAATTTTCCCGAATTTTGCAAGGAGGAAGGACAAGGAACTGAGCTGCAGAGCGAGGTGATGAGAAAGCCCAGGCATGTGCTCCACAGTAGCATCACCGGCGTGCGTTTGGCATCTCCTGCGTGAGCCAGAGCTGCCACAACAGGGCCTGAAGTGGAAGCTGCCCCAGGACAAGTGATGAGACAGTACAGGACAGTGATGAGGACAAACTCCCAGTTAATTGGCACGGACCTTACCGGGAACATGGGAATCACTGAGAGATGTTAGGGCAGAGAGAGCTGTCTCCATCCAGTATCCAGTCAGAGGAGTTTTAGCAATGCTTTCATCTGGGCACAATTTTCCTATCTGGTAATAAACCACAGTATTTTAGATCATAGTTTTGAAAACAGCTTAGGCACTGAACTCTTTCTGGTTCTTTTCCAGCCACAAGTACCAGACAAGCATGTCTTCACACCATTACAAAGGCAAATATACATGTATTCAATATAAATCTAAAATATATAATATAAATATAAATGCATACAAAGAGTGTATAGAGGAGTATACACTCTTTTAGCCAACCATAATCATGTAAGAAACAGCACTGCGCAACTTCTGGTAAAACTGCCAGAAACAGATTTTAGCAGGGCTTCTTTTGATGAGGAAAACGAAACAGAAGCCCTAAAACACAGTGTTTGATCTGAGACAGAGGGGATCTAGAAGAGGTCACACAATTTGAAGTAAGCAGCTTTCTACGTCAACTCCATGGTCATTCTGTTCCACACAAGATCCTACCACTTTGTAAGGTACATAGCAATAGGATTGATGATTTCTGCTTCAAACATCAATTTTAGTCCTGGAAATCTTTTCTCTTTCACTTTGTGTAGCAAAACTGACTGATTTTTTCGAGGTGGAGGAGGATGAAGGGAAAGCACTACATAAGTAATCAGTGTTCAGAGCAATCTCCCTGTTCACATGGTCTGGGATTACAGCTGTGCTTTCCTCAAAACTTCAGCACTCATGAGTCATCATCCCTCTTCCCTTCCCCTCTCTCCCCCTTCCCAAACAGAAATGCACAGCCTATGGGAGATACGTGACAAGGCATGTCCGCAGTCATAAGGCTGGTTTTCAACACTAGACCATGGGCTTGGGGAACTGTCCTTGGGAGTGGGCATGTGTGTCCCCTGGTATCACAGGTAGGAAATGTGATTTTGCCTGCTGCTTTTTTTCACCAGCTGCTGGAGACAAGAGAGGTTCCAGCCTCTGTCTAAATTCCAAGTTGCCTACCTCCCCTCCTTTCCCTCAGTACAATTACTCACGACCAGTTAATCATCTTCAGCACAAGTGCCTACCTTGCCCTCTCTATCCCTGGTGCGGGGCAGCCGGCAGCAGGGTGGCATCGGGTCCTGCCCAGGATGTGGGCCAGCCTGGGAACCCTCCTCAAGGCCACTGCTGTTGGGTTGGGCCAGCAAGGGGCACCTCACAGGTGGGAGAAGGGCAGGAGGTGGTCCAGAGTGTGGGGCTGGCTAGTCCCCTGCTTACTCAGACACAGCTCTGGGTTGTTGCAGGGAGTAAGCACTCCCCTCAGCAGTCCTGGCAGGGAAAAAAACAGAAGGATTTCTTGATAGCATAGCATCACCATACAACTTTTCATTCATTTAAAGTATTGAAAGTGCAATTACTTACACAATTTGAGTCAAGGAAATGAGCGTGTAGGGGGGAAATGTATCAGCTAATGTGATTCATTAGTAACGGTGGGTGATACACAATCCTGCGCAGCAGCAAGGATGAGGTGGCTTCAACACCACTTAAATAATTAGATGGGTGCTGGTATTCGACATAGGGCAAATACTGCCCATGTCTATTACAAAGGCATGAATTAGTCTAGGACAGCTCCACACATCACAAAGGCAATCCTGATTACCGATTTTGGCTTCTGGACTGGCTTTTGGAACTATTTAATCTAAAAGATATGGTTGGCACAAGCACAAAGAGCGTAGGCTGGACATGAATGAACTGTGCCTGGAAATTAGAAGCAGGCACTTAGTGGTTAGAGAAATCAGATTGTAGCAGAGAATAATAGGAGGAAAAATATCCTTAACTCCTCGAATATGTGGCATATTAAGTATGCTTCAGTCCAGAGTGCTCCACTGCACTTTATGTTCTCATGTCCAGTCGCAATGCTGACTGGAGATCAAGCAATGCAATACCAATGTGCCAAACCAAAAGCCTGTGATCTGCCTTTCACTTAAAGCTGTTTACTATACAAGGTACAGTCATTCTATTTTATAAGATCAATTTTTTCATACCACGTATCTGACAAGTTATTGTGTGCCCTCGCTATCTTAATCATCTGTAATTTTGAATCATGCTTCAGATGAGTTCTGTTCAGTTTGCAAAGAGTAGGAATTGAGGATATCTTTGCCATTCTCAGATAAATCATAGCAGCAAGACCAGGGGAAAACAAGTGGTCATAAATAAACAAATCTCCCTCTGTGGTTAGGGTTTAGAATTCAGTTAATGCTAATTACAGATACAAATAGCCTTGCAAATACTTTACAGAGATTTGAAATAATAAAAACAAAGTCTCAAAACGCCATATAGTCATCAGTAACACAGTGTAATAAAAGTAGCACTAACACAACCTTCTCAACAACAACTTCATCAAATATCTTTCCATCTTCCCCTCAGGGGGAGGATTTAGCCCCCAGACTCAGTTATCAAACAGAGCATTCTTAACGGGAGGATGAGAAATGAGTTCCAGAGCCTCACAGCCAAACTTGGGACACTATGTCATGGACGAGGAGTAAGTCAGCTCCAGGTTGTAATCACCTCCCAATTTGTACTCCTGGAAGGTGTACCAAACCCTACCAATCAGGTATTGTTTAATTCTTAATTTGGCCAGCTGGCTATTTCACTTGGCTAGTGATATACTCAGAGCTGTCATGAGCTGGCCTTTAGCAGGCTTATCTTCTTATATTCATTCTTCCTTATACTAAAACAGTTCCAGGTTCCTCCTCCCATGATTTAGGTGACATTTAGTTGTCTTTATTAGGAAGAAAGGGACTTCATACCAGTGCAGGAATCACCCGTGAACAGTTTGGCAGAAGGCATAATCCATTTAGTCACTGAAGATAATTTTTTCTCTTGACTATGATGTCTTCAGGTTCCACTCCTTCTAAAGGAAGATTATCCTTATCATGAGCAGAGGAATCTTTTAATGCATGAAATCAGCTACCAAATATTTCAGGGTCAGTCAGGTTGTCTGTCCATTGGTCCTGAGCCAGTCACCTAATACTGAGCTCTCAAACCTGCTCTTTCAGATCACTTGTCTTCCCAGCCAAAAGCATAGTTTTTTACTTCAGGAAAAGTAATGTGTATGGATTGTTCTGAAGTGGAAACACAGAAAAGCTGAGCTTTTCGGCAAGGTAAGCTCCACTGAAATTGTGGCGCTTTAAGACCAGCATGTCTTGTCTTCTGTGTGTTTCTACTTCACATGCAACAGGCATCCTTAAAATAACCCAAACCCCAATTCTGGTGGGAAAATAAGGCCTTAAAGAAGAACTGTTTACTCTGCCATTTGCTTTTTGTTTTGTAAATACTGACTACCTATCAGAAAGAAAATATTCTCTTCTGCTCCCTCTTCAGTTAGCAAATTCTATCGCTTTATCCTATCATTTTATCACTTACTCCAAATTCTATTATGTACTCTCAATCATTATCACATGTTGCCTCACTGACCACTCTATTCACCCAGCTGCTCCGTGAAGACTCACATCCTCAAGCTGCCTCAGCCTCTGTCCTCCCTGAAAGTTTCACCTGTATTTTCAGTTGATGTCCTAGCAGACTCAGCATTGCAGTCACGATCAGGCCTGTTTGCCATAAGAAGTCAAGAAGCCAGCTTCATTTCTGTCCTTTACAGGGATCCACATGTGAGCTTGTGCCAAGTTTTGCATTATGCATGCTGGAGGGTCAGGCCAGGAACTGATATGCAAAGAGCATTAACATTTGAAGACAAGACGCAGCATCACAGCTGAAGTTTCCTTTCTAAGGTACGGTGTGTTACGGAGAAGTTAATCCTCAAGAATGATGCAGGGCACAAAGCAACCATTAAGCACTGAACAGTGGTTACCCTTGTGAGGATACAAATTCCAGCATGCCACCAGACACTAACACACCACACCTCACTAGCACATAGCATTGAACTAGGAAACTACTTTTTGGAATACAAAATGTAAAACCAGCTGCTCAACAAACTTATTACTATGGCATTTATATAGATTTCCAATTTTAAACAGGAACAGAGATCAAACTGACTCATATTTTAACTATTTCTGACAAAAAAAATGATCAAAAGATGGCTGCTAGTTAACCAGTCAGACTACTAAGCCAGTCCTTGACAAATGTAGCATATATATCATGTTGTGTTATCTGCTGTTATTTAAATACATTTGTTTTACCACACACTGGATGATAATATTCATCATTCACAATGATGAATAATGATGATAATGATCACATAATTCATAATTATGACACGCTGATAGATAATTATAGAAAAAAAATAAAACCCAAATGGAAGCTATGCTCTGTCCAAATGAACACAGAGCAAAATATTTATTGTGAAAAAAAAAGCCTACAAAACAATTCTATCACACAAGTTGTTTTCATGACCTGCCTCAACTGATGGCAACTGCCTGGAAGAAAACCACAAACATCGAGTGTGTGGACAGCAGCAACCTGACCGCATGACAGCTGTAGCTGTTAGGAGCTGAAATACAAAGGCTGGTGATTTTTACGGGCAGTTTATGGTAATATGTTTCTTAGCCCCTCACTACCTGGCCATCTGCAGAATACAGACCATTCTCCTCTTTTCCCAGTTCGTTTATTCTGTTTAGATCTCAAACTGCACACAGAGGTCATGTCTGCATTTAAACTTTAAATCCTAGAGAGAGCTCTGTTCATGATCAGTTGATTCTCTGTGGTAGCTGTGATTAAACCAGTATAAATATCTTTATACCAGTGTGATGGCTGTGATTAAACTGGTATAAATATCTTCACATCCCTAGGGCTGAGATTACTATCTCTTTTGGAAAAAGACTGGCTCTTACTAGCCGCATGAATTGTCTGGACATCTAGATTCTTCCAAAATGCTTGTAAATGCAACATCCTGCACGACAAGAACAAACTGTCAACAACTGGATTATTTTTTTTGGTGAAAAAATGTTTAGATAAAAATCCCCGTGGGCTAGAACTATTAAGTGAAAGAAAACACAGATGGAAAAGAATATGATGGAGAGAGATCAGTACAAGACTCCAATGTTCTAGCATCTAGAGGATTCTCTGTACTTCTGTATACAGAAATCTGCAGTGGAAACTGCATTCACAGTCCGTGTAATGAGATACTATTTCCTGTGTTTGTGATCAGGGTGATATATGGGTTAGAATATTTGTATTTGTTTCATTTTGGGCATTGATCCCATTAGCATTTTCACTCCCACACCGGGGATAGAAAAATGCATTCTCCCAGCTACATTTCTTAATATATGATTACTTGTTCCAATCTACAAGACACAACTAAAGGCACACTCCTTTGTCTGCATCTCTGTCCTCATTTTCTCTTAAAAAACAATGCATATAAAATCTCATGCATACATTATCTCAAGTTTTCCGAAAACTAACAATGGCAAGTTAGATCTGGTGAAACAAGGGTGTTTTTACAGGTTAGCAAGCCTGCCACTCTTGAAAGTCTGCCAGGTTTAAATATTTAATGATTAGACATGGCATTCATCCTCCTAATCAATACTTTTTTTAGATACAAGTCTGAAGAGTCTCAGAAAGTGCAATCAGGCAGTGCTGGAGACCTGCAGAGGCTTCTCACACCAAACACTAAATAGCTACACTTGGAAGGAAATGAATAGGAGAGGGAGAATTCTCTGCCCTGTTCCATTAGAGGCACAATGAAGCCATAAAAGGGGGTAGATTGCCTTGAAAGAAATTGGCTTTTATAAAGCCTTTTCTTTATATCTTTCATGTTGGTGGCATTTTTTTACTTAGAATTAAATGAAATGGAAACTTTTACAAAGTTGAAATAAGCAACATTTTTTCTCGGAAGGCAGTGAACAGGTCTAAGTTCCACACGTGCAGAAGAACATTACAGAGATGTCTGCTTACAGACCCGGCACATACAAACCAGGCAGCGGATGCATGTAGAAGTATGCATGGGTTTTGGGTTTGGCCAGGCAGTAGGCTAGACCATTTGTTTTAGAATCACATGGAGTATGTGTGGGCTGATGTAATATAAGAAATATAAGAATGTCAGAAAAGTGTGTCTGAAGTCACCTGAAGAACTTGAGTATTCTCAGCCAAATGCTTCTCCTTCCCTGACTGGGGTTCCTAACCCTCCCTCCCTTCAGGAGCCCAATATTTATCCCATTCCTTTCTGCAAAACAATAGCCAGAGGAGGGTTGGTGCTTCTCCCATATTTAGTAGCTGAAGAGACAGGACACTCAAGGTGAACGTGAGAACCTCCAAGGTGAATCCCAAGGGAGACAAGACCAGTCTCTCAACTCGTCTCTGTTGGCCCAAATAGACTGTTCAAGTCATCTTGAGGACTGGACTCCCCTCATCCAGAAAATTCCCCTTATCATTGACCAATACTGTAATTCCTTCACAACTGGATTCATAAAAATTGTATTATTCTTAGCAAAAGGAACTGCATCGACAAAGAGCTCCAAGACTGAAGACCACATAGATCCGTAAGTGATACACATGCCAGATGTAGGCTCAAATTAGCTCAGACAGGGGGAATGGACTAACCCCTACTTCTCCCATATCTTTGGTGGAGTGTCGACATCTTTTATTGCAGAGAATAGTTCCTAGGAAATTATTTTGCTCTGACTGAAGCCAATAATAAAATTTTTACTGTCTCTCAATGAGATTCAAACGAGGCTAATAATGCATTCAACAGCTAGAGAAAAAATCTGTGAGGATGGCAATGTTAAGAGACAATGCTGCTCTCTACCCTTGCATTTCTTTTCTGGGCCCCATGGATGTAAGTTTAACTGTGATAGCTCGTTAGCACAGCTTTCCTTTGGGCCCAGAGTTTTATATTCTGTATTTGACACTTAGATCATAATGCAAATATTCATGTCTAAACAAAAGAAGGGGTTTATTCTGTGATGACTCAAAAGGCATCAAAAATTCGTTTGAAAGAATTCTGTTTTGCAGGAAGAGGGGAATGATGTATACAAGGATAAAAACCTCTCTTTACAGAGCAACAGGATTGATCTGGCTTATTATACCCACCCAATAAACAGTGGTGCTGTTGGTTTTTTTAACTGCACTTGTCCTTATGAAAGAAGCTTGTTTATGCTTTCCACAATGTTCACATGTTCTTTTTATGGCACTTCATATTTCTCTGCTGCACAACAGAATAAAGACTAGGAAAAAACGTAGCTGTGCTTTATTTCAGAGCGCTGTACAATAAAGACTATTATACAGTCCTTTGGGTTAAGTCCAGGACAGTGACAACTGATGTCCTCTTTTTGCAAGGAGATGAATAGGATGAGCTGATAAAGGTGAACATGCTTAAATATGAATGTACAGTCCTCAGAGAGTGCTTTTAGAGATCAGATACCTGATAAGAAAGTAGGTATTAGTTTATTGGGATGGAAAGTGCTTGGGGACATTAGCAGTCATGTTCCCGTATAACTGCATACTTCACCATTTAAAGTGCTGCTGCATCCCCCACGGAGGAAATCTTTTCAATCATTGTATAAAGAGGGTCCCAATATAACAAACCATCTAAGCTTGTAAGTCAAGAGTTAGTTGAATGCATGGGAGTACTGCACTGAGTACAGATGTGCTCACTTTTTGTATTTCATCTCAGCAGAAACATTCACATAAGGTACAGGAAAATGTAAGCAATCCTCAATGCAAAGAATTCAATGAACTTTCCGCGAGTCTGGGTACTGGATAAGACCAAATGCTAACAGAGAACTTGACAATTAGAAAACTGAATAAAAACCTTCCATCTAAATTTGAATCTTCATCCTGAGATCAAATACCGGAAAAAATGCTCAAAAATGTTGGGGTGGAGGGGCCAAGGGCAAATCAACATCTCCTGTACAAATCTGAAGACTAAAGGGAGTAGTGACTGCCCCATAGTCATTACTGGGGGAAGGATCTAGAACAACTGTGGGTGCTGTGGCTTGTCCAGAAAACTAATCAGTTACTTGAATTGGTGCCTGCTAAGGTCAGTACTTACTAAGTTTCACTGTGTTAGTGTGACCTTGTTTTTGCAGAAGCTATTGCAGCACCAATGAGCTACTAGAGTATTTTTCAGAAGAGTGGGCTGATTACAGTTATTCTCAGCTCTGATTAGCCAGATAGGCCCTTGTGATGAAGTTAAACATACCACATTTCCCAACAATGACCATGATCTCATCATCAAGAGGAAATACTTTCCAACCCTTTTGTTTCGAACAGATATAGCAAACAAGAAGTACTCAGCTACCTTGCTCCAGTCTTTTGCCATCCACTTCACTATTTCCTGCCTATGTCTATTTTGGGAGAGAACTGTTTTAAGAAAATTGCTTCTTCAAAAGTTCAGGTTTCGCTTACACAGGCAGCTTGAGCCTTCTGTATCTCACTGGCTCCTCCCTCCTCCTACCCCCATGGTGGGGGAAAGGGCAGGAGCAAAAGGAGGATTAAAACAAGAGCGTTCACAACATCTGCTTCTTTTAGTCACTGCCTTTCCTTCCTTTTAACTAAGGGCTATTTTTCATAGCACAGAGAAATAGTTCATGAGAATTCTCTCTGTAGTGACAGTCTGGGGTCCTTTGACGGTGGGAACTGGGCATGTAGGTGCTGGCATCACAGTATTAGTTTTTTTGTTCTTTAAACTGACAATTCCAAGTGCCTGATTCCATTAGTTATTTGAGGAGAGTTAACCCCTGGCTCTGTATTTTTGAAAAAAACAAATAATTTCACGCAGGCCAAAAATTTCCTGTTTTCAGAAAATTTGGAGGCATCAAGGCAAAGTTAAAAAAAAAACCCAAAAACTATTAATTCCTGCTTGTATGATAAATGTCAGGATAGGAGGGTTTTGTGTTTGTATCACACTAGTGTATGAAATGGGAAAAAAAATAATGGGAACATAAGAAAGATCTTTGCACAAAGCTGGGAGCCTAAAAATGGTTGTGGTTTCTGCTTATGATGAGCTTCAAGTAGGTGAAAGCTGTGGTGCAGAAATGTCACATCTTTGTTCTTTTCTTAGGGATTTTTTTTTTTTTTTTTAATGCCAACATCATGGCAGCTGACAAGGAAAAGGCCAAGATAAGGGTACTCTGATCAGGGAATTTTCTATACTTACTCTTCTTCCACCACTCATATTTCCTCGGGGGGGGTAAAAATCAGTGAGAAAGTATAAGAAATTCCCAGCTATATTGCTTGAATTAAATTATATTTTTTTAAAGGAAATCAACTGAACACTTCCTACTAGTTCATCAGGACAGTTTCCACCTCATCCATCTCATTTTACAGCCATATAACTGTTTTCAGGTGTTTAATTCCTTTCTGTTAATCTCTAAATATCTTTTGACTCTGGAAAATATTTCACAGTAAGTCTAGAGATAGCCACTCATGTACAAAAATGTTCAAGAACAATAACCCCATAGGCATACATACTCAGTTTTATATGCATTAATGATGAAGACAGCTTCAAGAGAGATGTTTTACAACCTTAAACCTCAAGAAAACAGACAAAATACACACAAAGCAGAAACACTTACCAGCTATGATTTTTTCAGAATGACACGGTATTCAGTTCAGTTATGGATTAAGATGATCCCAGGACTTATTTCAGTTTCAGCTGAAGTAAACAGGCGTGTTCTCACCAGAAGAATCAACGTCACACATAAAAAGCATCAAAGAAAGAACAGGGGTCCTGTTCTTCTCTAGTGTTCTGCTACGTATCAGAGGTGTATCCAGGTGACAACAGTAACGCAGTACTCCTCTTTCTTTCTTTTTAAAATATTCTCCTGCTAAAGACAGTATTTTTTCCATTAATCCTCCACCTGCAGCCCCAAATTCCAGACTGACAGACTAGAATTTGCTGTATGAAGGATGCTTTTATTAATCATATAAATCTTTGTATGTGGTGCAATATTTAGCCCAGCCACATCAATGTTTCAGTGGGCATGACAGACAAAATCTTAAGGTTGACATAGAACGGAGTGCTCCCTGAAGTCATTACAGTGAGCAATGAGGTGATTTCCCACTCTGATGTTAAATCTGCTGCAATTGCACCAATGCTGTCATTCAACAGCCTCTGGCAATACCACAATACCACCTCAGTAATAGGTTTAGACAGCTTAGTTTAATTATTGTTAATAGTTTGTGAGTATCTTAAATTCTGCATCATGACAAAGATGCTTTATGCCAAATACAATGTTCCATTTGGTGCAATCTATATTTTTCAATTCAGTTCATGTTTTGTTTTGAGCTGATTCAAAGTAAAATTGTTTTCAATTTTTCACTTTGTCCATGCGATTGAAAAAACAGCCCTTCAGCCTTACTCTGTTGCCAGGTACCAAATTGTTCACTGATGACTTACAGACTCAGTTATTCTTTTGAAGAAATTGGCCAGTCTCAGATTTCGCTGTTGTTGGAGGTTATTCACAATCTATTCATGACAAAAAGAAAAAACAAACAAACAAACAAAAAACAACAACAGATATTAATTACATTTTCAAGTTCACAATTATTTACTCGTGTGATCATAACAAAGCAAAATGTGCTGACAAAAACTGACTTACAAATAAAGAAATTTAAACTTGACAGTGTTTAGATACCCTATCAACACCTGTTCTTTAAATCTAGGAATCAACAGAAACATTGGTCATGGGTTGCAGCATTCACTCTCCTAATTTTCCTTAATTTGGTAAAGATATTCAGTGTGTATTCCAGCTTTTCAGATCACCATGTGGGAGAAATCAGAAGGAAGATCTTTCAGCTTAACTAGCAGAAGGGTTTGCATCGGGCAGCTCACAGCTCATTATGTGAACAAGAGCCATGCGGAACATACAAGACTCCTTCTCTTTGCATCCCAGGCCACAGACTGATGTGTTTTTTCCATCTTCTTAAACTACACACATTTCTCTGCTCTTTAAGTACTGTGCTCCTGCTGGAGCAGATCTGGGTGCAGCCAGTTGTTTGGCACAGAGAGTAAAAGAATCAGTGTGTTTTCTGTGGAGAAAAGGAGAGCGAGAGAGAGCACAGGAGTAATGTCCCTTTGACAAGGCAGCTTCACAGCTTTGATGTTTCCTCTCTCTCCTTTTCTCTTTTTAATTAACTACGTGGCTACTATTTCCACAGAGCCTGAAAAAGGCTCTTGCACTAGAGCAGCCTTAGTATGATTTTGGGGCTTCTCACGTTGCTGTGTAAGTCTAGTCTATACCAGTGTTCTTCAGTCTGTGGCCTGCTGAGATACTAGACCATTCCTTCATTTGGGATATTGGAATATGGAATAATTGAGATACTACGGACTATTTCTTAAAGTACCAGAGAAAAGTAAGATATTGTCAGTTAGTGCAAATTCACTGTCCCATGGCCAAGAGCTCAGTGATCTCCAGTCACAAGAACTGGGAAGCCGCCGGGCCAGGATGTCTCCATTTCTGCTGATGCTCTGTACTACTGTCAGGCCTTTTGTAGTCAGCATCACCCAAACAGGTAAACATCTACTCTGCAACTATCACACCCCATGTTCCCGCCTTCTAAAAGATTTAAAAGCTCACGAGCAGACGGTGACTTTTGATTAAACAACATGCCTATCCTGTGGCTCCATTTTGGACTGAGAAACTGCTTCCGTTGGTTTTCCCTTAGGGGCTCCACTTACAGTAAACACAATTAAGGATAAACACATTATCTATCGTATATCATCATTAGAAACTGCCTTTTGCTTTTAGTGTTGTCTTTGTGTGTAGTCTGTTCTAGACACAAGCCATCCCTCAGTGATTAGAATGTTGCAGCTCTACACTTAAAACCCTTTTTGAATTTAAGTGGTGGACAGGAATAGATGCTGCAGTCTCTAAAACACAGTACAATGACACTACTCAAGAAATGGTCCAAAAGATTTTAAATCCTGTTCCAAAATTAAGCTGGAAAGGCTGCACTACTACTAGCTGGCTCAGAAGGGAGACTAGATGGTGGTACAGGGTTCCCAGCAATGTAGAAACCCATCTTTGCATTTTCTTTCTGCATCAGCCTTGTTTTTACAGTCACGGTGAGTGACTTTGTTAGGAGTATGCGTTAAAAACCTAAGTCAACACTTCCTGGCTTTGTCTTCAAAGTGACTTTTGCTCTCCAAGGATGCCAGCAGGACAGGTACTGATGAACCACCCTTCCAGATTAACTGCGAAGGACGTAATTTTCCACACTTGTGTGTTTGAGTACATGCTGGTTTAGTTTCACTACTTCCCCTGCAAAAAGTGTGTTGCATAGACCGACATAAGCTACGAACACACCTCCTTCCATCAGATCTCATTACAGTCTTTCCTTATTAGAGAATCAGAGGGAGGATCCAGATCTGAACTCTCCAATCCTGGATCACTCCGGTGTCTCCTCCCTCACAGAACTATTGAAATATCCAGAGGTACCTTCCTAAACTGTAAACAGGAAGATCCGATGGTAGGTTCTTTGGATCCGTAAAACTGCTCTTCATTTTCTCAGTCTCTCTTTCTCTCTTCCTGCCCTCCACACTCTGCTTCACCCTGGCAAAGCCCTGTGCCGTGGCCCAATGCAAGAACACCAAGAGCAGAGCAGCGAGCTGACGAGATCAGACTGAACGTGGCTGATCAGCCCATGCAAAAGCCCTGATGAGGTAACATCTGGGTCTTTCTCTGCTGTCAGTCATGTAATTTGGTTTTTGTCGATTCTGCTGATTAATGCTGTTACAACAATCCAGAGACAGGTTGCAAGGGCAGATGGGAAAGTGTCACAGCTGACAGATGGAGAAAAAAATGAAAAAAGAAAAAAAAAAAAAAAGTATTTCTGAGCTTCTCATTGCACTGGCCTGTCTGACTGCTACAGGATATTATTAGCCATTTTACTATAAGCCACTGAGAGCAACATGGCAAGAGAAATACTTTTATTTGCTCTGCAGAAAAAAACTGTATTTCACAACATTGACACTGACTGATCTATTAATCACTCATTTGACCATTTCTTGAGAAATAAAATTAATTTGCAAGAGTTAACGAGAGACAGAACAATGCAATGTATTTCCACAGGTACATAATCTAACTTACTCTTGCTTAATTATTATTTTTTTAAAAACACTCCCACTCCAACCAGGGCTGCTTGAGAGAAGCATGCTGTGTTCAAATTAACCTGCTCTCCGATCTGTCACTTGTATGAATTCCTTATGCTCCAAAAGTGAAACCATTTGGTTGGGAGCACCAGTGTGTCTTTTGATCCTTCAGTACATAATCACTGGGCATCTTGTCTGTCAGAAATATGAGAAGCAAATAGATCACCTCATGCACAGTGGTGAAATCCTCTCAAAGCCAATGCCTAGGAAAGATCTGGGAGTGGATGAGGCTGAGTGCTCTGGTAATAAAGGTGTGCTGGGTGCCTCACTGTCACAGTAATAGCACTGTGACTGAGTGCTCATGATTTCAGCCCTTGAAGGAAGGACTGCTCGTGTCCATAGCATGTTGTCTTTGATGAAAGGCAAACAAATGATCAAACTCTTTTACCAAGGACAGACTTTGCCATTTCCCTCTGCTCACAATCCTTATTTGCCCACAGATGTAAGGCAGGCAGCAGAGACATTCTTGGTTGATTTTCTGCATAGACAATACTACTCTCTGGAATGATCATTAATTAGTGCCTACTTCCCAGTTAAAGTAGGAGGCAGCTGTGCATATACTGGGACCATCACCTAAGCATTTCATTTTTAGATGAAGAGGGATCAGAAGAGGACCAAAAAGAGGTGTTGGGAGTGGGACTGGGCTGCTCAGCCGTGACTCAAAGCCAGGGAGCTCTTCTCAGGACTCTGCTTTAACTCAAATCACTCCTGAATAACAGCTTCAAACTCCAGCATAGCACAACTTGCTGCAGCTGACTCATATCAGCATTTCATGCTGAAGCAGTTCCCTGTGTCGTCTTTTTTTTTTTTTTTTTTCAGCCTAACAACTCAAAACCACTTAAAAAATAAAAATGACATTACAGAGCTTCAGAGACTTCAAAACTAAGCTAAAGTGCATGACTGGAATCCTCAGCTTGTGTTCAAGATACCCTATACTGGTAAAAAGACATCTTCATCTCTCTGATACTGCCTCCTAACAATACTCATGCTAAACAATTAGTTCCTGTTGTGCTGTGGTGGTGTTACCTCCATCTGCTGAAACACCAGGAAAAAAAACCCCAAGGAGTTTAGAGCACCATGACATTTTCTTTGGCTTATTTTTTCATCTTCTCTTTTTCTTTCTATCCAAATGCACACACAGAGACAACCAGGATGATTCCCAGTTCCTGCACTTACTGGACTAACTACTGGTCATTTCTGGTCGTTAGGTGGTAGTTTTCAATTCTTTTACTATCACCAAAGGGATGTTTAATAGTGCTCTCAGTAAGCCAGAACAGTTTACTGTCCAAGTGAATGACATGGTAGCCCAGCCAGCTAGGTACCAAGGATGGTACACTCTGCACAGGCAGAATACTTGTTGAAGACAAGTGAAGCATGCCAAAAAAGAAAGTGTATCAGTATGGTTTTCACTTTACCATAGTGATCACAACTAACAACCTCTCCAGGGTACATGACTTCTTTTTCATGTCACCATGCCTGCAGAATAAGGACTACATTAAAAAGAGTAGAATTTTAGCAGTTAAATAGGATTGAAACCCAAAATAGCAGAAAATTGCTTTAAATTACTCCACTGAGTACAAATGACTTGTAAATTCAGGAGGGACACACACCAAGGTAAGGATGTGTTTTCACAGCCTGACAGGAGAGCGTTAAGCAAGTTCTACAGTACAGTAAGTACCTTAACAACCATCCTACTTACAGCTGATTTCAGGATAATTCCCTCTCTGATCTCCTGTACTACTTTTGCACATCTTCAACTCTCTAAGTTCCTCTTGGCATAGTTCCAGATACAGATTGATAAACATTTGAACATTGCTGGACAACGGTTTCAGGAAATCATTTGAGGCAGAGGACTCGAACCTCCTCTACAGTGACCCTGCATGTCTTTTGTTTCCATCAAGAAAAGCACTGCATATAAAGTAGATGGGATCATTTTAATTAGGAAGGACTCGATACCTCAGCCACTGCTCAAGGCTCAAGGACAGGCTCATTGAGATGTGAGAGGGCTGTGGGAGCAAGTCCAAAAATAACTTTAAAGGTACCTAAATTATATGGAACAGGATTACGGAGGACTGTAGGCCCTGGCCCAAATTTCAGCCAGAGGGAAAAAACCCCCTTCATTCTGTCCCAATGCAGATATTTGAATGGCCTGTTTTGAACTCAGCAGTGGAAAGTCTTCATGTAACACATAGTGAAACAAGATACCGGATTAAAGAATATTTGTGAGTGACCATTAATAAGCAATACTGTTTCTTCTTATATTTTTAATGGAATGAATGGTAAAAAGATCCAAGTAGATGGCTCTGGGGTTCTGT